GGTTATGACTAGGCCATTTGGTATTATATCTGTAAATCAAGAAATATAATACTTTCAATTTGCACTATTTCCCAGTGCAATACACCTTCTGCATTTTAATTAAGGGATTAGGAAAACATCAGGTAACCATAACAATAGCATACAATTTACAAGCAGGAATAAATTTATGGGCAAAATCAAGAGTACTAATGGGAAAAAAGGGGAAAGTTTAAAACATATTTTTAATTTTACAGTGTATCTGTCATTTAATGCATCTTAAAGTTCGTAATTTTTTTCTTCCTCTCTGTGAGTAGTTATTCATGAAGAAGTAAATGAAAATATTTAGATTGGTTGCTTAAAGTAATTGCATTTTTCTGTAATGTAAACAAAAGTCCAAGAAACCTATTCTGCTGTCTAAAGTACACTCAAATATACTGTATCAGATGGGTCTGAAATAGTAACATCTTAGTTCACATAATCAGCATCATATTTGTATTTCAGGGCCCTTACGGCATTGGTAGATGTAGTTGCTAAGGCACTCTCAATCATATTTGAAAAGTCATGGCAGTCAGGTCAAGTCTCCAGTGACTGGAGAAAAGCGAATACCACATCCATTTTCGACAAGAGTAAAGAGGAGGACCTTGGGAACTACCAACCAGTACGTCTCATCTCAGTCCCCAGTAAGAATGTGCAACAGATCCTCCTGGAAGTTATGTTGAAACACATGGATGACAGGTCATCAGAGACAGCCAACATGGCTTTACAAAAGGCAAATCATGCCTGACTAATGTAGTGACCTTCTATGATGGAAAGACAAGAGCTATGGATGTCATCTATCTCAACTTATGTAAGGCCTTTGACACAGTCCCACACAACATTCTTCTCTTTAATTTGGAGACATATGGGTTAGATGAATGGAAGATTAGAAGGATAAGGAACTGGCCAAGTCCAACAAGTTACAGTCAACAGCTCAATCTCCAAGTGGAAACCAGTAATGAGTAGTGTCATTCAAGGGTGCATATTGGAAACAAAACTATTTAATATTTTGATCAATGACATAGACAGTGAAATTGAGTGCACCCTCAGGAAGTTTTCTTATGACACCAAGCTGAGCAGTGCATTTGATCCTCTTAGGGAAGGGATGTCATCCAGAGGCACTTTAACAGGCTTGAGGAGTGGGCCCATGCAAACCTCACACAGTTCAATAAGGACAAGGTCCTGCATCTGATTTAGGGGAACTGCCAGTATCAATACAGACTGGGGGACTGATAGCTGCCCTGCAGAGAAGGTCTTGGAGATCCTGGTGGATGAAAAATTGGACATAAACTGGCAACATGCACTTGCAGACCAGAAAGCCAATCATATACTGGGCTGTATCAAAAGAAGGGTGATCAGCAGGGTGAGTGAGGTGATTCTGCCCTTTGACTCAGCTCTCAGGAGACCTCATCCGGAGTACTTAATACAGCTGTGGTGCCTCCAGTACAAGAAAGACATGGACCTCTTGAGTTGGTCCAGAGGAGAGCCATAAGAACGGTCAGAGGACTAGAACAGTTCTATAATGAGAGAGTTGGGGTTGTTCAGCCTGGAAAAGAGAAAGGTGCAGAGGAAACTTCTTATAACCTTTCAAGATATAAAGAGGACTGATAAGAAAGATAAATACTGTTTAATAGGGCCTTGGTGACAGAGCAAGAGGCAACTGAAAGAGGTTCAATTTAGATTGAATATAACGAAATTCTTTACAATGAGGGTGGTGAGACACTGAAACAGGTTGCCCAGAGAACTGGTGGATGCCCATCACTGACAGTTGTATTTGGTTTATGTGGCAAACTAGTGGGAATGGGAGAGAGTTGCAGAGGTGGCTTCTGTGAGAAGACACCAGGGTCTGCTCCCATGTGGGACAGAGACAGCTCAAGCTGGCTCCAAGACAGACCTGCTGCTGACCAAAGCTGAGCTCAACAGTGATGTTGGTAGTGTTTGTGAGATAACATATTTAAGAAAAGATAAAAAACACTGCACAATAGCAGCTGGGAGAGAGGAGTGAGAAAATGTGAGAGAAACAACTGTGCAGACACCAAGGTCAGTGAAGAAGGAGGTGGAAGGATATGCTTCACACGTTGGAGTAGACATTGGAGCTCTTGGAGAAGACCATAGTGGAGACGTCAACCCTGCAGTCCATGGAGGACTTCATGCCAGAGCAGGCAGATGTGCCCTGAAGAAACTTGCAGCCTGTGGAGAGCCCATGTTGGAACAGGTTTTCTGGCAGTACCTATGACCCTGGTACAGTCAATTTCTGACTGTGCCTTGTGGAAAGGACCCATGCTGGAGCAGTTTGTGAAGGACTGTATCTGAAGACCCCATGCTGAAGCAGAAAAACAGTGTGAGGAGGAAGGAGCAGCAGAGATGAAGCATTGCGAACTGACCGCAACCCTCATTCCTCCAGTCCCCCTGGACTGACTGAGGCAGGGAAGTAGAGAAGTTAGGAGTGAAGTTGACCCTGGGAAGAAGGGAGGGGTGGGGGGAAGGTGTTTTTACTTTAAGATCTGGTTGTATCTCCCATTGTTCTACTCTGATGTTGGTAACAAATTAACATTGGGGTTTTTTTATTCCTTATGATAAGTCTGTCTTTTGCCTGTGACCTGTTTAAGTGGTGAGAAGCCCTCCCAGTCCTTATTTTGACAAGCCCTTTTTTGGGGGTCATCGTGGTGCTCAGTTATGCACTGGGTCTAAACCATGACAAGAAGTTAACCATGAGCCATCAATTTGTCCTTGTGGCCAAGAAGGTCAATGGCATCGTGGGGTGCATTAAGAAGAGCGTGGTCAGTAAGTCGAGGGATGTTATCCTCTGTTGTGGTTTAGGGCAGGTGTTTTTACATTTGTTCTTATTTCTTTTTATTCTATGATGTTTGGCAATAAATTAATATTCCCAAGTCTAGTCTATTTCGTATGTAACAGTAGCTGATGAGTGATCCTCCTGTCCTTAACTTGACCCATGAGCTTTTTGTCACCATCTTGTTGATGGAAAGGGATTGATAGGCAGCTTAGCTGGCACCTTCTGGCCAGCCAAGGCCAACCCACTACAACAGGGCTTTGAGCAACCTGATCTAGTGGGAAGTGTCCCTGCCCATGGCAGGGGGGCTGGAACTAGATGATCTTTGAAAGTCCTTTCCAACTAAAAGCATTCTACGAGTCTATGATTTTGGAGAAATGTACAGGTTCATTTTCTTATGTTCAAATGCAATGTAAACCAAAAAAAGAAAAAGAAACCAAAACTGCTTATATATCTATTTACCTTTTAAAACAAATTGCTGTCTATTTTCTATGCCTATTATATTTTGTCCATTTTGGCTGAAAAGGTCTTCAAGGATCTGGACTATACACAGTGGCTTTCTAACTCTGGTACTCAGATACTCATAATTTTAACAGCCTTCTTCCTTCTATTATTTTTAGTCAGTACTTTTCTGCCCTGGATTAGAACCAGAGGGCTAACAAGAAGCGTATAAATTACTAACTCTGACACTGTGCAGCTGTTCTCTCCACAGCAGGCTAATGATAAAATGTGAAGGTCAGGTATCTCTGAATGGTATGTGGTGAGATATACATAGAGCACTAGAATGACTATGAATTCTGTTGTTAATCTGGATTCTGGCAACAAATTCTTTGTTCTCTTACCTGCTAAAATAAGGAATAAAACTGCTATCTCTATAATTTGTGCTAGTTTTTTATTCAAGGTTCAGCATCCAATGAAAGAACAGCCTATTAAAACAGGCAGCCTGAGCTGTTCAGTGAAAAAGTGAGTAACGTAATCCACCAGTATGCAGCAACAGTCACAATGGGAGAGACATGGAAAGGTTACACCTATTATGTTTTACAAAACTAAGTACAGAAACAGATACCAAGACATGATCTAGCATATAACAGTATTAAAAAGGAAGTTGCCCAGAATAATGTATTCGCTTAAGATTGGCTCATTTTCATGTAATATTTTGGGTATTTGCCATATTCCTCTTTACAATAGGTAAAAATAAAATTCTCTCCAAAAGGAATCTGTCTGTGAATAAAGCATCTGGAATGTTTTAAAATGGATCAAGAGTCCCAAATAGTAAAGTGAAAAACAGGCCCTTTGTAAAAAAACAAACAGACAAACAAACAAACAAACCACTACAAAATTATCCAAAAAGTGGAAGGACATGGTAGCACACTTTCTTTCATCTGAAAATGGAATTAATAATTTTCTTATAGTGGATTTAATGTATTTAATTTAATGTATTTATGTATTCAAGTCCATTGTTAATCAGACATATTAGCAACTCTATCACACAAAAAGCAGAAACACTGGCAGTAGGAGTATCATTACAAGTAACAGACTATACTGTATCAGTGCTTCCTATAAGAACCACTAAAAATGTATATGAACAGTATTTTGCTTGCAATTACAGCTACAGTCGTTTAAGTTGTGTCACTAAGAATCAGTGCTGCCTGTGAATTCCTGGAAGTCTTTCTGCCTCTTTCTGTACTCTACCATGTCACAGATAGCTGCATCACACCTGTTGATAAAATTGTGCTGTATTTGGAGATGGCTACTAGCGGAAAGGGCAGAGTAACAACTTAGATGAAAAAGAACAGGTCAGAGGTGAGAGAGGCAGAAGGATTTTTACAACTGAAATACATTCAAAGAAAAAAGGTAAACTTATCATTTTGGTGTCTAAGGCTAACAATAGAGAGTATATAACTCATTCAAGACAACAGAATAGATGAGCAACCCAGAAATAAAGCTAATTTATTAATTTGATTAGGAAGTTATTTTTACTACCTGAAAGAGAGGAATCAAGTTTTCCTTCCAAGCTTATTAGAGATTTCTTTCACAAAACATCTTATTTTATTCTATATGAAACCTATTTAAACATTCCTACATATGAGGTAAAAAGGACTGTGGCTTCTGACAATAATGGTGTTTACTATATCAGGATTGAGATACCTAAGACTGACTTAATTTGAAGAAATAAAATAAGACTTACACTTACCGATACATCATCACTAAAATCTATTTCATCCAAATCAAGGTATTCAGGGGCTTCCATTATTCTTCTATGGACATTTTGGTTGTGTCAGCATAGTAGTAAAGACCTAATTAAGAAAAGAGAAATGGTTTGTCTACTAACGAGTCAAAAACACATAGAAATTGTTTAATATAGTTGCTAGATCAGTGAAAACATTTGACTTGTACAGTAAAGTCTTTCATAACTTAATCCTAAAAGCTAAATATGATTTGCCATCTCTACTCTGTGTATTATAAAGAAGCCATTTCAAGTTTTAGGGATAATAGCTAAGTGGTAATTCAAGTGGAAGTCAAAAATAACTTCATCCATCATCACTCAGTCCTTCCAGAAGTTCAATATAAAGACCTAAGCTGTTGAGCACCCTCATGACCCTACAACCCCAGGTGTGCTAATGACATATCTTCTCTTAAGGATGCTACTACTTTACTGGCCCAAATAAAGCAACTTGTTACTATAGTTTTCCTATACTCAAGAAGGCAGAAAAGAACTGAGACTCATGCTGTGCACAGAAAACAAAAACCCTTCACATTTTATCTCCACTTCTCTCTACAAGCAGATAAACACACAATGCAGTCAGTGCTTTACAGATGGATGATTTACTTCTCTTCAGCCTGCAAGCATGCTTTCCCCAAAACAATAACCAAGGCAAAATGAGAATTTTATCAAGGTACACTGATTATCAGGGGCCTTAACCATTTTCTCACAGCAAGTGAAAAAGAAGAGAAAACTCTCTTACAAAGCAAGAAATTTGGCTGAAAAACTCAGCATGTAATTCTGGATAAACTGGAGCTTAAACAATCAAAAGATCAAGGACAATAAAACCCTCATTACTTTCTTAATCCTAACTAGAATGAAGGTGTGCATTATCACTACGGACAAGTACAACAGAAGTAAAAGTGTAAAGGGAAGTTACTTTAAGGGAAGCTGAAAAACAAAAGCTATAATGCATTTTAAAACAATGTGAGACACTATGTAAATGTTAAGCATTGTTATGGAAACAAATTAAATTCTTCTAGTACTTGTACATAACAAAAGGAAATGCTTGAAGGGAAAAATAAAACAAGCCCAGTTTATTCATATAACTGCCAAGAAGTAAGTTTATGAATAATGAAGTCAGTTGTGTAGGTCAAAATAAAAACACTGTGCAAAACATTCACATGCAATTAAGAATGTGCTAGGATAAGAGGTTTGAAGACAATGCATTTCTGCAGGTGTTATAGTCATTGGCAAACAAAACCCTAGTCATTAATCTCTTTCATAATGCCTCACCCAAGCACAAAGGTGATCTTAAGATACATGTTTTTGAAAAGTTATTAGAAGAAGAACCAAAAGGCAAATCTACAGTTTCAAGCTGAAAGAACTGGAACTGCAAATTTTTATTCTCATCAAGTCACTGAAGCTAAAGGACTATTAAGCATAATTTTCTTTTTAAATAATAATAATAATAATAATAAAAAAAAACCAAACAAAATACATGGGTTTTCTTCAATGTATGAGGATATTTCTGCTCCTTCAAATATGAATGAAGGAATTTCTGCGAAAGAGAAACTGAGGAGGAAGGTAGCAGGTAAGAACAACCTCAGCCACCTATAATTGGCTCTCACTGTGGCTGTTAAGACTTGAGTGAAGCAGTGGGAAAGGAGATGACTACAAGAAGGTAAATACAGTATAAAGCCCTCAGTCCAACTTAATATGAGGAAACAGAAGCCGCTAAGTGAAACTAATTGGAAGCTTTTCATTTTGCACAATTCCCAAATGCTAAGTTTCTTCTTAGAGGGAACCACTAAAATCAGACAAAATAATTGCAATTAAAGGAATTAGCTGCTGTGAAAAGGCACACACATTTAAATCTACAGATTCTTTCCCACAGTAGAGATTTTGTTTTCTTCACAGAAACATAGAATTTCTATTTTTTTTTAAGGTTTATGCTTTAATGTGATGAATTTGGGTGACATTACAACTTAATTGTAGTAAACAGCACTGTCACTCTATTGGGTATGCATATCACAGTTTTAGGTAGCAGGGAGTTTACAGAGGTGGCTTCCATGAGAAGATTCCATGTCTGACAGAGCCCATGCCAGTCAGCTCCAAGACAAGACCCACTTCTGGCCAAGGCTAAGCCCATTAGTGACTGTGGCAGCACCTTTGTGACAACACATTTAAGAAGGGGAAATGACTGCTATGCAACAGCAGCTGAGAGTGAGGAATGAGAATATGTGAGATGAACAACTTTGCAGATAGGAAGGAGGGGTAAGGGAGGAGGTGGGAGGAGGTGCTCCAGGCACTGTGAGCAGAGATTCCCCTGCAGCTCTTGGAGAAGACCATGGTGAGGCAGGCTGTGCCCCTGCAGCCCATGGAGATTAAGAGTGGAGCAGATAACTACCTGCAGCCCATGGAGGACCCCATGCTGGAGCAGGTGGATGTGCCTGCAGGAGGCTGTGACCCCGTGGGAAGTCCCTACAGCAGGCTTCTGGCAGAACCTGTGACACAGTGGGAGGTTTGCTGGCAGGACTTGTGACCCCACGTGGGACCCACACTGTAGCAGTTTGTTCCTGAAGGACTGCACCCTGAGGAAAGGACCCATGACAAAGAATTTCATGGAGGACTGCATCCTGTGGATGGATGGTCCCAACACTGGAGCAGGGAAACAGCGTGAGGAGGAAGGAGCAGCAGAGACAATGTGTGATAATAAAGTTGAACCTGAAAAGGGTGAGGTGGGGGGAAAGTGCTTTAGTTTTTGTATTTGTTCCTTGCTATCCTACTCTATTTTTAATTGGCAATAAATTAATTTTCCCCAAGTTGAGTCTGTTTTGCCTGTGATGATAATTGGTGAGTGATCTCCCTGTACTGAACTCAACCCATGATGTTTTTAATCTTATTTTCTCTCTTTGTCCTGTTCAAGAGGGGGAATGAGAGAGTAGCTGGGTGAGCATCTGACAGCCAGCCAAAGTCAACCCATCACAGCATCCCTCCACAGAGGTAAATCCTAGCCACCAGTTTACCACTGTGACTAATGATACCAGTTCAAATCAAATTATGAAGGCAGTTTTAGAAGGAAGATAAATGCCAACTGTATGTGCATTGTCCTACAGAATCTCAGGATTGTAGAAACTACCCAGTATTATTCCATACAGGGATACATATATGAAGAATGAGAATTAAAATACAAAATTTTAAAGGTTAAAGACATACATGGATTGTATCAGACACAGACTAAAAATAAACCAAAGCTTCACTAAGTTTCAGTTTTTCACTGGAATGAAATGGATTACAAAAAACTCCGCCCAGTATGTTTAAAAATCAATGAAAGAGATAAATAAGGCTATGCTTAACATGCTACATAATAAGTCATAATCAAGAAGTGAGCTAAGGATTTTATTTTGCAATTAAAACTTATTTATTCAGGTAAAACAACTCCATAACTTTAATAAAAGAACTACTATTCCTAGTTAATACATATTTCGAGATTTTAGAACAAAAGTATCTCAACCTTTCAAACATTTTTTTAGTTCTAAACTGCAAGAAGCCACTGAGGGGAAAAAACGCTGCATCCATCCATAGCTGACAAAAGGACTACATTTCACCTGGAGATATACAAAACTCATCACGCCAGTTCAGAGTCTTGCAAAATGCTGTCTTCTGTCTTCTCAAAACATAAAAGACACACTCAAAACACAAAAAAGCTGAAGAGAAAGTTGGTAACCAAAGCAAACGTGTTCTCTATGGAAAACTACTCTTTCTGAAGATAGCATTCAGTAATATGTAAAGAAGGGCAAGACATTAATGCATTCTGTTTGCTATAAGATTTTCATTTTTTTCCTCGATGAGGCAACTCATGACAAGTAAGATTTCCCATGACTATACTTAGAGTCTTATTCAAGAGGTGCACTTTTATGATACAATTTAACAGTAGAACTACACCATGTATAATGGAAACCATACGGTAAGGATAGTACTCAGAGTTGCAGCTATTTGAGACTTTGCAATAACTGAATCCAGAAATATACACAATCTGAATAGCATTCACAAGCAGATTCATTGGTCAAATTCAAAGTAAAATTAATTGCAAGCAAAAGTGCAACTGCCAGCAACGCAGTTGAGATAAATAATGTATTTCCAGCATCGACACCAAAGCAATACAGATGCTTATTATCTCTACCCTGTCAGCAGAAATGTCTGACATATAACTGATCAATTCTTCTAACTGTATTTTGGAAGATAGTCACTAAATATTCCACAAAATTTTAATCCAAAAAAGGGCATAGCTTGTCTGGCAATTTGGCTTGCAGAGAGACACATACATGCACATATACACTTCATACAGGTAAAAGAAATCCTGTCTGCCCTCAGAATTCACAGTTAAAAGAAGAAAATCACATTAAAACTATCCATATGTACTCAAGAAAAAGTGTTTTTTATAGTTTTGTGAAACAATTCCTCAGGAGAAATCATCCAGCTAAAAATTACCACACAGAAATGTGTTAACAGTAGTACTGATATAATAACATATTGCTTATGTTGCATTGCAACAGATAATAAACAATGATTTGGTTGTAAAATAAAGCAAAAAAAAAAATCTTTCTCCATTTCAAACAACAGCAACAAACTTTTTGTTTTTCTAAAACATAGGTTTCCTCTGCTGTTGTCTATCTCAGCTAAAACTAGTTGTCTCAATGCACATCCAGTTACTGACAAACATTCCATATAATATCAGTGAATGAGAAAAAAGCAAATAAATAATAAAAATAAAAATAATAATAATAATAGCAATGAATTATTACACAGAGTGAACAAATCTATCAACTTCTGAAAACACTAAATCCCCACTCTAAACTCATGCATCACCTAAAATGCTTACATTGTTCACAGCTTCTTTTCTTAAGCTAGATCAAGCCTTGCATTTGGCTTACCACATGGTCTCAAAAAACAGTCACACTAGCAACAATCGCTAGGGGCTGTTCTCCGTTTTGAGGATGAAGAAGACCCAGTGTGGGAAGACAGGAATGCTTTAAAAGCCAGTC